GTGCTCTGGGGGGGGGGGGGGGGGGGGAGCAAAAAAAAAGTACATTTAACTTGTCGAGTTTAGATGTCAAGTAATGCTGATTTTTGGAAGGAACCATTAAAGTAAATGGTTTCAGTCTTGTCTTCTACTAAAAAGTTACTGGATTACTGTAATGCAGCAGATCCTTATCTTTTCGTACCAAATGCTTATCGCCAGTTGAAAAGACTTGTTTGAATTTTCTAAACTAACTTTCTGGTTTATGTCCCAAACTGTTGATTATTGATAAAGGGACCTGCCAAAGTAGTTTTAATATTTTAATGGTGTTCTTAACAGATTCATCTTGGATCTTTCCTAATATGGTCAGTGTATCAAGTAGTAGTTTATTCTTTCCTCTTATACAGGCTGATTTAAAAAAAAAAATATAATGTTATTTCTCTGAGAATTTTTCTATAAGCTAAAACGTTTTAATCATTAGAGTAAGAAATGAAGAAACAAAGCACAAAATTATTTCCATCAGTAATGTGAAATATGTTGAAAATATCTCACTAAGGTCCATGAAAGGCAGAACTGAAAAACAGATCATCTTTATATATAATGGCATAGGATTCTTCAGAGACTGAGACGAGGCCCATGACAGATGTGCTGAAATCAAAGAAGAGCCTCCTGAAATTTCCGTGTTGCCAGATTGATATGGTAGAAGAAGCTGGAATTCCAGTTTGTCTGCATATCTAGATCTGTTCAAACTTGGGTTCCAGTAACAGAAAAAATTCTCTATTGCTTGGTTTTTATCAAGTTTAGCAATTGCTAGAATGTGACTAACTGCATAACTGAGAAAGGCAAGGATGATTTAGCACCGAGAATATTTACTACTAATTGCAACTCAGTCACAGAAATGTATTTGCTTCAGTGCAACAGGAGTGCTTTGTGGCAGTATGGAAAAAATACACGGATGTTTTCTTTTTTTGTGTGTGCCATCTGCAGATGGTAAAAGGCGGGGTATCAGAAACAAGAATTGAGAAGCGCATTGTCATTACGGGAGATGCAGATATTGACCATGATGAGGTGAGTATTTAAGCTGTTAACACTTACAGTGTGCTTTTTGTGGTCCAGTGAGATCCAGATGATATTTCAGAAACCTGGAATAAGAGAAAGGTAGAGAAGCTGAAATAAGAGGCTATAGAAAGACCTTGAGACTGTTAATTGTGTAAAAGTTGTTAAGCAATCATGTTTTGTGAATAAGGAGCCTTTAGAATATAACTGAAAGAAAAACCACATTTGTAACTTTACATCATAGATCACATGAATGGATTTCTTACTATTTTTAAAGGGATTGCTTTTTTTGGAAGAGACCCAATTTGTTTAGTGCTGCTTTTGCCATTTGGGAGGAAAAGTATTACTAAAATAATCTTATTTTGATACATGAATCTGGATAAATGCGAGTCTACTGCATTGTGTCAGCAACATCTGAATGCAGCATTGAAAGCTTTGAACTACATTAAAGCATAAACGTCTCAAATTTAAAAACTATAAATAGAAGTTTTTGACTTCTATTTGTAGAATTCTGTATAACAAAAGTAATTGTTGATCTGCTGGAATTTTATATAAGTACCTTTCATCTCTATCAGTACCAAAGCAGTATTTTACAGTGTTTTGGGAACTAAGGTTAAAAGCACTTCTACCTGCCCAATTAAGAAGGCTGAATTTAAGCAGTACACAGGAGAATAATTAAGCAAGTGCAATTATCTATTCTTTGTAGTGATGATTACACAATTTTTATTGTTTTTCATCTAAGAAACTGTAGTAACAAAGTCGATCAACTATCACTGGATAGTACAAATGGAAAATCCTTCCAATAAAGTTGCAGTGAATCCAACTCTGACTTTATGAAACCTACACAAATCAACATAACAGAATTTAATTTAGCTTCTTAATTGTAATATACTGAGAGCTCTCGGGGAATTTAGTTGCATATTTTGATTGGCCTCTGGAAAGCAGCTCTTGACAAGTTGAATCTCTTCTTGAATCTCATAATTAAATGACAGGGCTGTTCAGCATCAGGCATGGCTCTTGTTTGCTTTGACACACATTCAGTGCACTTCAGACGTCTGGAAAGGTCACACAATACCTTTAGTATACCAGACAATTCTCTAAGCCATTCTTTGTTTTGAGATAAGTGGGTAATGAAGTAAAAAATGAAATTATAAAAAAGGAAATACAAAATATTATTTGAGTTACTGAAATTTAAAGCAGTAGTGAGCAGCTTTTAAGAGATTTAAGAAATTTCTACCTCTTTTTCTTCCATGGGTATGGAGCTCTTCAAATGCAGAAACTACATGCTGGATGTTTATTCCTTTGTCTTTTAGCTCCCTACATCACTAAAACAGTTTTCAATAGGAAAACAGTATTTTAATTTGGAGTTTCAGAACACAAATGCTTGTGTTACTTGTTGTAATTTAACAATTAGAGACTTAAGGTTTTTTCATTGTTTATGGTTTGATTATAAACAATGATTCTTATATCTCAACAGCCACTTTCTTGTAAATCCTCATTGGTATTACAGAGATTACATTTGGCATATTGTAAAAGACAAAGTACTAAACATTTTTTAGGATTAATACATCAGCAAATACCAGTGTTGTACCAATGCACACTGTGTGTTCTGTACATATTTCCTTAATAGGACTTCAAGTCATTATCATATAAGAGTTAAGGTGGCTAATGCTGGTGTCTCCAATCTCTCTTCAGAGTTAGTTATTTCTTCTCCCACTTACCACCTATGGCTCTGGAAATTGTCACTTTCCTAAATTAAGATAAAACTTTTGTTTCAGTATATTTTTCTTGCTCCTTCTAGTATATTTAGGGGATGCTAAGGTGAACAAACTGTGCTTCCTGTTGCCTCAGAATGCCTTGCAGTTTGGTTTGGTTTTTTTTTTTATTGTGTTGGGTTCCAACAGTAATAGAGCTCATGTAAATAAGATTTAGATCAGGGGGAGGAATAGGAGGTCACAGGCACTCTTTCACCTGTTCTGCCTCAGAGGGTGCTTTTATGTGGTTGACTGTAAAGCCTTGTATAGAACAGAACAGAATAGAATATTTCAGTTGGAAGGGACCTACAATGATAACCTAATCCAACTGCCAGCTGCATATATTGGTACATCTCTTAAGAAGATAAAATTTCTTAAAATGAGGAGGGATTATAAGAAACTGAGTAATACTTATATTTACACTTCCCTGAGTTAAGGTAGAGAAAGTTCTCTTAAACTAGTAAAAGGAGAAAAAGGAGATTCCTGGGCTGAGAAAGAAATTTCTGTTATAATCTTCTTCCAGAGTTTCAGTACGATACCTAGTACGCATTCCAAAGTATCTTTCCATTTTATTGAGGAAACTGAAGGGAACTCTGATTTTTATGTAGTGTACATTCTTGTTAAGTCTTTATTTGCTAGGTCCGTTGCGAAAGTTCAAAAACTTCTGTTTACTGAATACTTTTTGTCTCCTGAAATGAGCTGGAAAAGTTACAGGGTAACTTCATGGTCATTTATTACTTCCTGGAAATTTTGGTAAATTTTTAGCATAGTGGGTTTTTGGGGTATTTTTGGTTGGGTTTTGTGGTTTGGGGATTGGTTGGTTTTGGTTTTTGGTTTTGGGTTTTTTTTAACCCTGAGCCCTCTCAAGTTCAGGTTCTGAACAATTATAACCAACGTTTCTGATGCTACTCTCCCATTCTCTGGGCCCCATATGAATGTTCTTTTGCTGTTGTTGAGTTACATGTTTTGAATACATTTGCAGGCCCTGGCACAGGCAATCAAAGAAGCCAAAGAACAGCACCCTGACATGTCTGTCACAAGAGTGGTGGTGCACAAAGAAACTGAACTTGCTGAGGAAGATGAAGAGTAAAACGAAAAATGCCCTCCAGCAAATAGTTCAGGTAAGCTTATGTATATAATTAACACAGGAAAATGTAGCATCAGTTTTCTGTTGCATTCTGTAATAAAAGCCATGAGAAATATGGGGCGCCTTTGATATATTCTACCACAATTGAGTTGAAACAGGCGCTAACTGTAGCCTGTTAGTGTATGTATTTTTAACTTAAGTCCAATCTGACATTAACAAACAATTTTATCACAGTACTCTCATGGTATTTCCTATTATGTTTGGTCAAGTTGTTGTAGTTTATATTGAAGTGAGTTTGGGTTATTTCTGAATAAATAGGCTTCCCACTAAACAAGCAGGACGTAAGACAAGGACTGTAATTGTACAGGTAAACAGAAAAATGTGACACAGTCCTTGCCTTACATCTTGCTTGTTTAGTGGGAAGCCTATGTGCAGTTCCCAGTAGTGAAAGGGTACACTTGGACATTTCAGTTTAGTCAGTTAATTCTTAATCCTAAGCACACTAAAATATTTAACCTTTTATCATTTTTGCAGGCAAGGAGGTAAATGCATTGCAAACTCAAGTTTTAAAGCCTCTTACCAGTTGAAAGAGGTATTTGAAGGAATGTCAGTTTATTAGGCCCTCATTTCTAGGAGTAAAAAACGGGAAAAAAAACCCAACAACCAGCTGTTGTGCTGGTTATATGCTAATGTCTTAAGGCTCAGTAACCGTTAGGGTGTGTAAAGCTTTAGATTTCCTTTGCTTGTCACACTGGTTGACATCATGAAACTGAAGCTTGCGATTTTTCAAACTTGATGGCTTTGTTAATTGTAGATTCAGATTCAAGGAAAAGGTTTCATTTGGATGGTTAAATAACAGTCAGGGAGACTTAAAAATAAATGAAGTTTAAAAAGCAATGTTTTAAGCCTTTGTTGCGAGACATCTTTGTTTCTACTGATGAGTCTCTGTATTTAGCTGGAAGAGCAGAGGTGTCATTGGCAAGGGGAATCTTAAGAGAGTTATCTCAAGAGGGAAAACAGGTTTAGTACAACTTTAAGCTTTTAATGTGCATTTTGTTCAATGTTAATGTAGAGGGAGACAAGGTAAAAGAAATACATTTTCTATTTTTTAATGAAATGAGAGTTGTCGTGATTCTTATTTCCTTGGTTCAGTCATTTATACAATGGTGGTTGTGGCCCGCGGAAGAGAGTTCTAGGTCCTGTAGAAGCATGCATTCCCTTAGTCTCGAAGGAAGTTTTTTACCAAAGAAAACTACTTGTCGTAAACTTCATCCTGCAGCTTCAGGAGACTTTTAGATATCATGAGCATTATTCATGAAGTGCCAGGAATATATGAAAAATGAGACACTGACTTGATGCCAAATTTGATGTAAGCTACTATAAAGAGAGGAGGATGTATTTCACATAATCCTGATAATTTCTCATGTTGAGAAGATCAGTTTTATTCCTGTACCCGAGTTTCCTAAGAGCTGAAGATTTCACTGTCGGGTATCACTTCTGTGATTCTCTGATGCAAGCATCAGTTTGAGAGGATATGAAGTACACCTACTGAATGCTTCTCTATGAAAAATGACCATTATTAAGGGATCTGAGCCTTCCTGAACTAGTCACATCACAGATGCGTATTTTCAGCTGAAAGACATAGGCTAAAGCCTTAGTTTATTTAATCTACCCACAAGGGTCTTGCTTTTCTTTCACATCTGGATAGGAGCGGAGGGACTTATGTGGCTGAGGAAAGGGACAGCTAATATACGGTGCTAGCTATTGACACATATATGATCAGTTAGAGGCTGCATGTTGTGAGGTATTAAGAATAGAGTTTTTCTCCGTTGTGAGATATCTGTTGTCAGAGTTGTTGGTTCCCATCACTGCATACACCAGCTCTTCTGGGAGTTTACCCTGAACTCCTGCTACCTGCAGCACTGCATAGAGCAACGGTGTTGAACGCCATGGAGAAATCCACGAGGGTAAGAGTAGGATGCCTGCTCTCTGCCTGCAGACAAAGTTTATCCACCTTTTCCATTAAAGTGTTTCCAGTTGCCTTTCCTGGTCCCATGCAGATGGTGCTAGAAGTACAATGTTGTGGTTTTTTGATTATGTGAGTCTATAAATTACCTTTTGACCAGTTTTCCTCTGAGCTTGCTGGGACGCTGGAGGTTTTATGTCAGAGTGGAGCTAAGTTTGAGCTGCCCCTTCAAAATTTCTTCAGTTTTGGTCAGATTATTGTGTGTTTGAAAAAAGAATGAATAAGTTTTGCTCTAAACTGTAGAAACCAGGAAAACAGCATGGATCAAGTTTCAAAGTGCTAGGTCAACACTGACCGGGATATTAATGTTATAACATTAATATTCATGTAATTATTATAACATTATACAATCTTATACACTGTGGAAATAACAAAGAGGGGGTTGCTTGTGAGGGAGATTGGGGAAAAGTCAACAAAAATTAGGAACTCTGCACAAATCTCTATGTTTTTTCACTGTACTTTTTTTTAGCGTTCAACTGGATTTGCTTTATAGCTTTGTTGCTTGGTGACACTGAAAACGGGTATAGCATGTGTGTTCCAGCTTGTTTTGAAAGCACAGGAGAGGACATAAAACTGCACTGAACTGTGAGATAGGGATGTGTGGATGAGTCCTCACATCCCGTAAATTCTCCAGACGGGCTCGGAAAAGTCCACATCACTTTTGAGAGAGCTGTTAGTTTGTAGCAAGGAGAATGCTTGTGGTTTAGGTAATTTCACTGACCCCTTGGTACACAGCAACATTAAACATGTCCACTCAAACCATCCTTCTTGTATTTTCAGCATTTACATAGCAGGATCTAAGGTAGGAAGATACACTGAGACAGCAGAACAGATCATTTTGATTTGCAAGGATTTACTATTATAGTATGTGCTACTATTACATTTTTCATTTATTATTAATCAGTATGAATTTAAAGGTCTTGGGAGCAGGGGTTGCTTCTTCTGTTACATTTGTGCAGAATGTACCAGTTTCTTCATGCTACCTTAATCCAGAAAACCATCTTTCAAATCAGTGTTCAACATAATCTATCCCATATAAGCTGAAAGGAATGTGTCATGGGAGGAAGAAACAATCTTGGCCTGTTTGCACCCCATTTCTACGTTAGTGACTAACTGCAAAGTTGATTCTGTTCCTTCATCAAATATTTAACCGCTCTGTAAAAATTTTATGCAGAAAAAACATTCAAAGAATTCCTTCTGTCTGCTGAAGGTGATTTTTTGCTTGTTTGAGAAATATATACCTTGTGGAATGGTATATATATATCAATGTATCGGAGAGCGTCAGATGTTCTTGTCTGAGTTTGCCAATTGCTTTACAGCTCTTGGTCTGAAATATGTGAGAGGGTAAAAGAGGACTAATACAAAGACATTTCACCATGCTTCTCTTGTACTTGAGACCTGGTGACTTGTTTGACTGATGATGCCTCTCAGTTAAACATTAAGGAAAAAATTTAGTTGTCTAAACACAGGCCACCTGAAGTGCCTTGAGTATCTGTCTGCAGCTTAGACCATCAAGAGACCTATGCCCTCCTGTGACAGGAGCTGAAGGGCAGGTAGGACTGCAGAAACAGTTCTGGGCAATTGTGTTCAGGCAATGGAATCATGCCATGAATCTTGATTAGTTGTTTCTAAGGTGATGAAAGCTCTGCCTTGATGACTACAGCAGTATTGTTTGTGTAGACTTGTTTTCTCTAATGAAAGTGAGAGAGATTACACTCTGATTCTGAGGGACTACTAATTGAACAAATATCTTCATTTTTTTGTTTATGCACTAGATTGTGGATTAAAATTTTCAGTAAACTCTGCAAGAGGTGACTATTAAAATAGCATGAGAATTTTGAGGCGGGAAAAATACACTAAAGCAAGAAAAGCATTGATAGAAACTGAGCTACTCTTTACCTCACAATTGAAGGGGCCTTTAGTTAATGCAACATTATTTTATGAAATAACCTTCCCCAAAAATATCCTATATGGGAAAAACGAGGTTTTGGCTTTGATGATGTGACATTCACACAGTATACATTATGAATGCTTATGTAATCTTCCCCCTCCTTTTTCTTCCAGAAGTAAAAATGATACTGACCGTGATCCTGACCACGAAGAACTGTAATCATTCCAAGTCATCACTACTCTACCGAATCCACCCAAGCCTAGCAATGATGACTAGATGTTCAAGACTTAAATGCCAATACCAAACTCCATTTTAACATCTTTGGTCTATATTCCCTTACAGTCTTTCTTGTTTATTTTTTATAACCACTTCTTAACAATCTTAGATTTTTTTAAATGAAGTTTTAAAGGGTATGATCTTCTTTTGCACAAATACTTGTATTTTGAAGCTGATGCTTAATTATATGAAAGTGAACAATAAAGGAGTCTGGAAAGCACTGTTCACTGGAGCAGGTGGTAATTGTGCAGGATGGGGGATCTTAACTAATTTAGATATAGTTTTTTCCAAATATCTCAAGTGAAATCTCTTACTGGAGTAATTTACAGATTTTTTTTTTCAGATTATTCAGGTAAATATATGGTATCACATAACAAAGATTTTTATAAAAATACAACATTTCCTAAAATTTGCAAAAATATATTTCTTTGGATAAATTTTATACTGATATCTCTGTAACTCTTTCTGTTCTAAGGGTCTCCTCTCTGTGGAGCAGAGATGGTATGTCAGTCTATAGAGGAGAAGGAGTTGCAGACACATTTCTTTTGACTGAGCACTGTGTTCTTTTTGCACTTTGGTGCCAATGCTCAACTTTTTGCAGACGTTTTGCTGTCTGCAGCATTCCAGATAAGGAAAGAAGGAAGAACAAAATATCTTTCTCTTCTTCCAACAAGAGATGATTTAGGCAGCTTTTAAAACCTTAGTGCTTTTTTTCTTACTGTGTCCAAACTTCCACACTTCCATTATTTGAATGCATGTGTAGAATGCTTGCTTTCTATTAAATCTCACTGTCTCCATGTTAGAACTGACATTTCTATTACTGAGAAGGTATACGTTTCAGATGCTTCGTCTAACGGTTAATGCAGGTTTTTAGGACACTGAGTAAAAGTGTACGATGGACTCCATTCATAAAGTAATAAGACAGTACCATCATTTGAGACTGCCATTGAGAAAACCTGTTAATTATTTTGGATTTTATTTTTATTTTGTTCTTGCAGGGGGGTGGGTTGTTTGGTTTTTTTTTTTTTTTTTTGCTGTTGACTCTGTGTATAGTTAAAATGCCAAATTAGATTTATAGCAGCTTAAAGTTGTATTAAGTGATATTTTGCTTTCTGTAATTCTGTTATAAAATAAAGTTGTTTATTCTCTGTATGACTTTTGGCACTTAGACTTAAACTTGGAAGATACTTAAAGTGAGCAAGTCAGTTATGAGAACTGCAATTCTAGAGAACACAGAACCTTGAAAAGCAGTGATTAATACAAGTAGTCTCCAGGGTTACCAGAAGGGTAGGATGATTGTCTGGCTCCTCATACTGACACTAAAGTGTCAGTGTTTTCTACACATCTTCCAATAAACATCCTGGTTTCTGTGGTTCAGAGAAGAAATCTTCAGACGCCAAAAAACCCGAGATTTGGACAGCACAGCGCAAGTTAAAATGCCCCTTGGTCTGCAAGTGGTTCTACCGAGTTCATTGAGTTAGGATGTACTATGATCTTCAAGTAACAAAACACATCATAATACTTCTCAATACATTCTTTTTCACTTGAGCAATGTATTTTTGGTGCTACTCTCAGTTTAGATTGCTGCCATCTGTCAGCATACTTGCTTAATTCCTGTTAGTTTTGGCTTCATATAATTTGGATAACATAAGACAACAGTAACCAAGATGTTGATTTATATATGCATGTAGGTGTTCTCAATTGCATCCCACATTACCCTGAAAAATAGCAGGTAACATTCAGACCTGCTTTTCTTCAAAAACAGAGACATTCTGCATTTCAAAAGCGGTAGAGAACCCCCCAGCCTAATAATATAAGAACACCACCACAGCACTGTGCATGAGGGAGGTGGTCAAGGAAGTGGCAAGTCTGGGATATGTAAGTGGAGGTCAAAATGGAGATACATGCACTTAAGGGGATGTTTTAATGGATTTTTCTTAGAAAAGTGTGTAAGAAAAAGCTTTATAAAATCTTTGAGGTATTTTTGATATGGTGTAGCATTAGTTGCAGAACCCATTTGGTGGGTGGAAAATGTATTACTTCAATTCCTTATTTGGATCTTTCTGATTTGTTAGACACTAGACAATACTGTTTTTTATTGCAATTGTATTTAATCCTTAAAACTGCAAATATAATAATCTTGAAAACAATATTGCTTTCACTGTGAGCTGCATTTGTTCAAATAGTAATCAGAACCTTTTGTCAGGGAAAAATTAATAGTGCTTTCAGGTCAGCATAGCTTGTGCATAGCTACCACTTCCATTGATTAACATGTACTAATTAAAAAACCATTGTCATGCAGAAAAACCTATGACCCAGGTGTGATCAATCCTAAAAATAGTCAAGTTTTACGGATTCTGGTTGTATGTAATTATTCAAATGTTCTGGAATATTGTGCAAGTCTGATGAGTTTTCATTGTTACTTTGTTTTATATAATATATCTGTAGCAAAAACTGCTACATGCAACAAAAGAAAATGTTCTTGAGGCACTTCACAAGCTGGCTTTCTAATATGTGGGCAGTTTCAAAAGCAATTACAGGCCCCTTTAATGAGAAGGTATTTCAGTAATTAATTCTGCTTAAATACTGAAAGTGAGTCATGTGGATCTTACACAAAAATACTTAATACATCTTTCTTTTTAATCATGATCACCTAAGGGTTCATAGTAAATATTGGAATCGTTCTACAGATTGTTTCCTAGATTAAGGTTTCATAAAGGACAAGCAAGCAACTCTAGTGAGAGACTTTTAAAAAAAAAAAAGATTGCTCAAAGCGATGAGCAACTACAATACAAAGTGTTTCTTGAAATATTCTTCTATTTGACAACTCAAGCTGAATGGCAACTTATTAGTTTGGCCACAGAAGAAATCAACTGGATGGAATAAAATAAATGAAATACATAGACAGAGGTCAGAGTTTGTGAGATTTGATAGCCATGAGAATAACAACTAACTGTACCCTTGGCCAGGATGCAGTTCAGCTTTTAGGCATGTTAACTGGGATGGAAGTGGGCTGCTTGGAGCAGCTGGTGTCCCGCCCGGTTGGCCTGACTACACCTCTGGAAGGTTTGAAACTTTTGATTTTCAGGCTGCTCAGTTGTTTAGGTTTTTTTATACTGCACTTGAAAAAAAAGATACTTGGATTAGTAATGTCAGTACAAATTACAAGCATTAGACGTGCTGCTAATACCAGTAGTGTTAAATGATTCTGTTTGGCGTGAAGTAAACCCTACAAGAGTTTTTGGAAGTATGTATGTATAAATGGCTGGACTGGGCCAAGCTAAATGACTAACACTGACGGATCCCTGTCGCTGAGACTACTGGTAGTTGTCCGGGGTGGGGAGGGGGTGTAAGAATAAGTACTGTGCTAGAAAGTAGTACTTCCCCAAATATTCTTCCAGCTTTCAGCAATTTTCAAAAACTTACTGGTCTATCAGTCATTAATATTTATCTGCCTCTGGATTTTTGGCTAATTGCTTTTTGAAAAATTCTCCTGGCAGACATTTTCACCGTTCCATGTGCCTTAAGAAAAAAAAAAGAACACTATTTCTTTTGAACCTGCCTCTGCTAGCTTGGTTCGACAGCACCACTGCAGATACTAGAGAAGACATCTAACAGTCATTCTCTCTTTGGTCATTCCCCATCCAAAAGCTATTCCACAATTCTTTATCCTTCCATCACCTTTCTCTGTACCTTTCCTACTTAAATGTTGAGACTTTAAATTCTGTACTGGGAAGTGAAGAAGAAGCAATCGCAGATAGGCAGGAAGGTTTTAAACATGCTTACTGGGTGTAGACAGAGTGGAATCCTAGCTTCATGTTATTGCTAGTGACAGGAAGACAGAGGACTCCCCAGTCATAACAATAACTGAAGACAAATTATTTCCTTGCAATTACTGTTTTCATATATATTTAGAGAATGCTTTTATAATTTATCTAGACAAAGCATTAGTTCCGTGGTGTTATTTAAATACATACTTTTCCTTTTTGAAGGAATTTTGTAAGATACCATGATCTGTTTCATGCCAGTAGTGTGACAACAGGTATTTCTCGACACTATTAGGTAATGGAACTGAAAACAGCAAGGCCTGAGGATTTTCATGGCATGTTACTGAGTCTTGAATGTCAGATCCTCCTACATGTTAGCAATTACAGTAAGCTCGATAAGCAGTTGTGTCAAAGGCATCCAGAGTATATATATAGTATTCTCTTCAATATTTTAGATCGTTTACCATCATTTTACAGCTAAATGCTGTTAAAGAGTGATACCACATTTCAACATTTTAAATCTCCCTATTCTCAAGTCATTTTGTGAAATCAACACAATCAATTCTGTGTTGTGGTAAGGCTTGCTAAACTTCAATTCTGTATCTTTATGTGTGGTCCAGGCCAGTCTTTTCTTGGGTGGAAGGGAATGGGTGTTTGGAATGGG